TCTTGACACATAAAAATAATTCACATGGAATTTCATAATTAAAGTTTCACCTACTTAACATACTCCACAAACATATGATTCTAAATGAAATCCTAGACATTACATAAATAAATAAATTTGTGCTCTTATAATTCATGCAACTGTTTACATGTCTACCCATTTACATAGAAATGTGCAAATTACACCACAAACAGCTCAACCTTCTTAACCAGGGAACGCTTTAACCAGTCATTTCAACTTTAATGTACACACACACACACACAAAACAACAACCAGCATGTTGTCAAAAGTGCATATTACTTGTCAAATCCAGAATTGAAGAGCTGCAGACACACATTCAGACAGCTGTGCACACGCTGCACAGTTATGAAATGACTCCGTCTATTTCACTATGAATTCAAATGAAACCAAATATGCATGCATTCACATATCACTCATTACATGAAATCGATCACATGACGAGAGCATAAATTCTCACCTGCAAGATCTGTTGTAGTAAATGTCTTAAGCAGGATGAGACATAGCTTCCACTCTCAAAAATGAAGTCTTCCTGTTCATTTACATGCTTCGATCATGTGACTCTTACTGTACAATTAATGCATCACAATGTAATATCACATCTACACTGTAAAAAATGACCGTGAATTTAACGGTAAAAGACTGTTGATTGTTTTTTTACACTGTATCTATCTATCCATCTATCAAGCCATCATTGGGGCAGTACCCTAAAGTACAAAAGCTAAAACGTACATATTAGTACTTTAAAAGTGCATATTACCTTAAAAGGACATATTAGGACCCTAAAGTCCACCTTTTGACAGCGTATAAATCCCAGTGACAGTTTTGTACCTTTTTTCACACAAAAAAGCCATGCTTTAGAGTGACTGATGAATTCAGATGAATTTCATCTTTCATTTTCATGATGCTGGGAATTCTAGGGAATAAACTCCGGGAGTTTTTAACTCTCACCTCAGAATCACACCAGGTGTTACGAAACTGTGATTTAACACACTGTTCATTGAAAACACATTGATAAAATCACTGTGCAACTGTTTCAAAACTTCTCATTTATTAAAAACAGTCATTTGAGATCATTAGCAGTTAAAGTGGTGAAAGTCCAGTTATGAAAGTGACTAAACACAAAAGGAAATTCATGAAACAGATGTTTCCTTACAGCCACAGTTGAAGACAGGCAAAATGTGCTAACGATAAAACCAAATTCATTCTTTTTCAACAACATAAACCAGCTGAATAATAATAATAATAATGTGTCATAGGTGGTTTATCACTTGCAAGCTGAAAAGCTTACATCTGATCTCTCATAAAATTAATTTTATAAAACTAATTACATTTCACCTCGATAATTTGTGCAATGGGGAGTTTGTTGAATAACAATAACACAATGCATGAACAATAGTAATTTACAACAGTAACAGTGGTACCTGACTTAATAAACAGCTCTTAATTATTGTTGTTGTTGTTGTTGTTGTTGTTGTTGTTGTTGTTGTTGTTGTTGTTGTTGTTGTTGTTGTTGTTGTTGTTATTCATAGGCACGTTGACTTTACAATTTCTATAATCCAAAATACATTCTTTCACTCTTTGTCATTATCTTCACATATAAAAGGCCATGTACAGTTAAGTTGGACCCAAACAAAATCTCAAAAATAAAGCCTCCTCCTCAAGTTAAAGTGCTTTTAGTATTGTTAACCAACATTATGTTTATTCCAGTGACAAAAGATCAACTATGGAGAAAAAAAACTAGATCTTTACCCAAAATAGCTCTATACTGGCACTGTTAGACACAAATATTGATACAAATCACATCCAATGCAGTCTCGCAATAAGACACGCACAAGTTACTCACTCTAAATGTTGTACCTTTGCTCTATCATTAACTACAGTACAGTGGTTTAAATATTATGATTTTTTTCCAGTCAATGACATGCAACATTGTAATCCATAATCCTTCTGCAAAAATAGATCGATATCCATGTGTTTATAAAATCAGGTATTGTCCATCAGAGTTTACAGAATAGTTGTTCTTCTCAAAGTGTGTCCTATCATTAACTACAGTACAGTGGTTTAAATATTATGATTTCTTCCAGTCAATGACAAGCAACCCTCCAGTCCACTGTAATCCATAATCCTTCTGCAAAAATAGATCGATATCCATGTGTTTATAAAATCAGGTATTGTCCATCAGAGTTTACAGAATAGTTGTTCTTCTCAAAGTGTCTCAAATCTGTGGCACTGCTTTTCTTGGCCACAAGGTGGTGAAGTAGTCCTTCCTAGGTCATGAATAAAGCAGCAGATCTATGTTGAATCATCATTTGATTCCACATGGTCTAATAGTTTAGTAGTTTACAGTATTTCTCATTTACAGACTCCAACTATATCCGGAATGGAACACTAGCATACTAACATATGTAGCATACTATTTTTTAAAGTATCATGTGAAACAATGTGCATTATGCAGTGATACGAGTTTCAAATAGTCGCATGCGACATTGTTGTCATTTGTTAACTGAACAAATTATTAGCTAAAAAATTAATGTGCATTATTTTGCAGTTGTAATCGCATTTTAATACAACTTTTGGCAGCCCAATAAAGAAATATAGGGAACTGTGACGGAGTTTAAAACGAGTTTAGCTCTAACGTGCCTCAGCACGCCTGCCTGGAAGTTTCTAGTGTGCCTAGTAAGCTGGTTCAGGTGTGTTTAATTGGGTTGGAGCTGAACTTTGCAGGACACCAGCCCTCCAGAAGCAGAATCGGACACCCCTGCTCTAGAAACATATCATTTTAATGCACTACAAGCAGCACTTGATAATCATAATTTTGAGTGCATTGCATTGTGGAATACGTGAAATGACCACTAAGTGGCGCTAATACAGTGTACAGTTTATTCGAAACGGATGAACATGAATCTGGCTACGTTGGTTGCTGTACGAATAGCGATGTATAGTTCGGAAATGAATGTCCGGTGACTGGCACTAAAAGGTTATTGTTTGTATCTTGTATGAAAATAACGTACCATCTACATTAAATTCAACCCTAAATGTAACCGATAGTGTTAACAAAAGCAACTGTGAGATAATAACACATTTGCTGAGGCAACCACGCCGTTTGAGCTCTTTTATCATTAGTCATATTTCAGAAGACTCTTTGCTTCGCATGGCATTAAGTGCAATGCTGTACCGGGTGAGCTATCGAGCAAGTTTACTATGTCAGAAAAGTCATACATATAGAGCTGATTATGTGATTATTAGTTGTGATCGTCAAAATGTATTACTTGTTATCATAATCTGTGTGAATAGGAATAAAAGTTGTTGGTGCTTTACCGCCATAGTGCTCATTGCAACTATAAACTGCAGTGAGTTGTATGTTTTTGGAGTTTTCCAAAAATATAGGTCGAGGCATGTTTTTCCAATACTTTTGCCATAGTAGATCATAGGGCTGTCGCGATTCGTCGATTTTATTCGACTATTCGATTTTTAAAAACCCTCGACTTCATTTTGCTCGCGTCGACTAACCGGCAAAATACCGGAAGTGGCGCATTTCACGGACGAGAATCCATAAAACACATTATTAGACTGTTTCCCAAGGCTGCATGATATATTAAACCCATTTAAAAATCATAATTAAGCATAATTATGCTACGATTTAATAAATTTTTTGTGATGCAGTTCTAATACAGTATATGCACTTTAATTATTTACATGCGTGTAGGTTAAGTACATGCGTCACACAGCGGCTCCGTTCACAGTAGTTCCACAGGAACTGTTATCATTTACATGTGTGGAGCACCTCAAACTCCATCTCTGCATGGTGTTGTGAGTTTGGGTTTAATATAACGTTAATCTGGGAACGCAACGTGCGCCATTTCAAAAAATGGCTGTCCACCAACGTTTACCATCCAACCTGACAGAACTGGAGAGGATCTGCAAGGAGGAATGGCAGAGGATCGCCAAATCCAGGTGTGAAAAACTTGTTGTATCTTTCCCAAAAAGACTCATGGCTGTATTGGATCAAAAGGGTGCTTCTACTAAATACTGAGCAAAGGGTCTGAATACTTAGGACCATGTGATATTTCCGTTTTTCTTTTTTAATAAATCTGCAAAGATGTCAACAATTCTGTGTTTTTCTGTCAATATGGGGTGCTGTGTGTACATTAATGAGGAAAAAAAATTAACTTAAATGATTTTAGCAAATGGCTGCAATATAACAAAGAGTGAAAAATTTAAGGGGGTCTGAATACTTTCCGTACCCACTGTATATATATATATATATATATATATAATACATGCGTATGTACTGTATGAAAATACATTTTGCTCCTGTCTTTACATAATGCTGAATGGTGGCTGAAACAACAGACTTTTGTTACATGTTTAAACTGCTACATTTTTGTGTCAATCCATGTTTATTTTGACCTGGAACAATGCGTTATCACTTAATTCAGCACGTACTGTACAACAAAAATAACCCTAACCCTCTACAAACACATTTGTTTGACATGTTTGTGAAACATATATTCAAACCATCTCCAATTAATTAATTTATTTTATTGATTTATTTATTTTTTTAAAGTTTTTTTTCTTTCTTTTTTTTTTTTCAGAAATACTGCACATTTACATTTTTCTCCTAAATAAATTCTGGTAAATAACATTTCTGGTAAATACTCTTTTAAAAAGTGTTTTTTGATTATAATTTTATTATTAGTAGACTAGAACACGAGGATATGTTGTCATTCTTACACTGTAATACTGAACTTTGAGACTATGAGATGGATGCACTTTACTTTTGCTTTAAAAAAAGGATTTCATAGAAATTTGGATTTCATTTGGTTTAATAAAATATAGTTTAATAAAATATTCTTAAGTAAAATTGTTGATTTTTTTGTGGGAAATTAATCGTTTAGATTAATCGATTAATCGATAAATTAGTCGATAGATTAATCGAAATAAAAATAGTAGTTAGTGGCAGCCCTAGTAGATCATCTGTGTGTTTTGTTCATTCAGAAAACTTGCATGCTACGCACAGTATACATACTATATACTGCAGAAACAGGAAATGTAGTATGCTAGTGTGCTTTTCCGAACATAGTCTGTCTTTATCTTCTCTATTTCATGGTTGTATGCCAGTGCATTTCAGCGCTAGCCAACTCTACTGGCACCCTACCTTGTAAAACAGGTAAGCCTAGTGGCATCAAAAAAAAAAAGTTGGCTAACACTGAATCAAACAAGCACTCAAGCAATTTATCTTCATCTGAACCCCCGTTCACTCATTCATCTGTGTTTTCCGCTCTCTAGACGTTACTAATGCGGACGCTGAGCTGGTCTCGGACACGCCCACTGCCCCGCCCCCTTTCCTCCCGGTAGCTCTCCTCCAATCGCATCTTCTCCACATCCGCCCCTTGGTCTCCACCGCCACTGCCTTGTTGTTGGGGCGACTGGGTGTTTGGAGGTGGGGCTTGTTTAAAAAGGGGTGGGGTCTTGGTCTTGGCAACCTTGTCAAAGAAGGCAAAATCAGCTACATACTTTCCGGAGGGGGAGAGGGAGACGACAGGTGGAAACTCGTAGCCCCACAGGATCTCATCGGGCAGGTAGGAGGTGCGAACTTGGCAGGTGGCCGAGGTCGGCTCCACAGTAGCACTCATGATCACAAGCAGCTCAAAGTCAGCCAGCTCCGGATCCGTCCACCCGCCACCTTAGAAAAAAAAAGATATATAGTCAAACAGATGGCAGAAATTTAGTAGTGGTTAATATAATTCATCCCATTTTGTCCCAAACTTGTATGACTTCCATTCAGTATGAAGCAGTTAAGAACATATTATTCTTCATTAGCCTTTGATCAGGGATGAGTGCTGAGGTATTGTCGCTGTAGTTACCCTTTTGGGTCTGTCTTGTATGTTGTGTTTTTTTTTATGGTTATTTATTATTTCCTATTATATTCTCTTAATTGAACTTACAGTACAGCACTTTGGACAACTTAGTTGTTTTATTAGCTGCTTTATAAATAAAGTTGGAGTTGGAGTATGGCGAATAAAATTGGTGCAGTTCTCAAATCTCATTCACAGTGTGTCATATCAAATAGTTTTAGGGTGGGACTTTTTGGAGCTTGTCTATTTTCATTTACATTCTCCTATTGAATAGAATTTGGATATTCTTCATACAATATTTATCATGTAAATGATTTATACAGTATATTATGTAATGCTTAATGTGAACATCTATTCATTAAGCCTTCTCCTTACTCCATTTAGATGTATATTTCTTTTATTTTTCTACCTTGTTTCTACTTATTTAATTTTTCTTCACGTATATTATGCAAGGTTATTTTAGTTAACTATAACTGAAACCATGAAAAACATTTTTGTTACTTGAAATAAAATAAGCATTAACTGAAATAATATAAAATTAAATGTAAATAACTAAAACTTATTCAGCTAGTTGCCAAAGCAACATTTCTCATTTACAGTTAATCTTGATGCACTAAAATAACAAAATAATAAAAACTAATAAAAATAACTATATATATATATATATATATATATATATATATTGTTCATGTCCCCATCAAATATAAGTTGAATTAAGGAATTAAATCTTTTTTTATTACAGTTTATATGTATGAATATGTAAGCATGGGGTAAATTTGATATGGCATGTTTTGAACATGAAATTTTTGGAATGTCTCTGGGTGCTGCACTACAGTAATTTCTAACATTAAAAGCTCTATTTATTAAGATACATTTCAACCTATCAATAATATAATCTTGGTATGCACACGAGTAGTGACAACATTCTTCAAAAAATCTTTCAGTCATACACATTTGGAATGACATGAGGGTGAGTAAAGGATGACAGAAATGTAATTTCTTTTGAATGTTCCTTTAACAAAATGTTTGAAAAAAAAAAAAACTGACAATGTGATATTTTGTTTTTCTGCAATATATATTGTGATCTGGTGAAAATTACTATATATTATTTTCATATGACTTTAATCGCATTTGGAAACAATTAATCGTTCCAAAATGCTTGCAAAATACTGCACAGAAAATGAAAATAATTTTGAAAAGAAATCTGAAAAAATGAAAATCTTTGAGAAATTTTTGAGTGCAAATCACACTTTGGTTTACTCAAGAACCAAACCTCTTTCAGGAACCATAAAGTGAACTTGGTTAAAAAAAATCTCTTTCCATTTGAGTTTTCATAGGTCACAAGTTTAGATTTTTATTGTGAATATTAAATATAAATATTAAAACCAAAAAAAATTGTACAGTACAAATATAAAATTACAATACTAATATTTGCATTTTAAATTCTTCATTTTCAAAAGTTAAAACATCAAGCTTAAATTTTGATGGTTTGCCTGCAAATAAATGTGCGCTGTCGGTTTCAGAGTAAATTGCGTGTATATTACAATACAGTGTTTCAGCATCTCACAGCAGCTTGATTCTCAGTAAATGAACAAAGGCTCACAAAGATGTTAAAACTCTGTATTAGTGTTGTCACGGTACCAAAATTTCAGTATTCGGTACCAATACCAGTGAAAAAGCAAAACACAAAAACATTCTAATTAAAAATTTTTACTATACTTTCATTTAATCCAAACTGTGTACATATTTAATTTTAAAGGGCTTTTGAACACCTTCTAGAGTTATTCAGCCAAGAATAACTAAATAAAAAAATTTAAAAAGCCCAGAACTGCTTTTCTGACTGATATGACACAAGCAATGTTAACCATTTGTACATTCTCTAGCACGCATATTTTAGATTCACAATTCATTTAAAAGCCTCTGGTGTGTAAAAATAGTAAATATCATCATGTCCTCCTGTTTTTTTTTTTACCCTAATAAAAGTTATAGGAGAATCTTCATTCTAATGCTCATTATATTAGCGTTAGCCGCGTTTATGCTAACGATTAACTACTCTAATAACAGCAATGTTCATTTCAATCCGACATTCAAATTAAAATATTGAATAATATTCATAACAGAAGCGGCGTTTCCCACAGACTTGCACTCTATTTGTGGCGGCATATAAATGCAAATTCATTCTCTGCCAGCAGGTGGCGCTTGTAGAGCGGGAGACATAGAGGTTTCCCCGGTAACGGCGGTAATCAAATAAGCGCTGCGCTCACAAACGCTGCTTTATCAGGCATTACAGGCAAGATGAAATGAAAATGACATCCATAATTTTCTGAAGACAGGCGGTTTCCTTCAGGAATACAGTGATATAAAAACACCCGCACCATGTCTCAGTGCTTTTATGAAGAGAGCGCATCTGCGCACCTTTTGGATACCGCATCAAGAACCGGGTTGACTGGGTACTCGGTACCACCGGTACTTAAAAAAACCTGGTACCGTAACGTTTTCATTTTTTTTGTACCGAAGTACCGGGTCTTTTGACAACACTACTCTGTATCTATTAAATTAAATAGCAGCCTTCACGATTTGATGACTGCATCCAGCCCTATCATAATATTTTATTTTGATATATCATGCAGCCCTAGTTTGAAACCACAAGTAAAACATAGTCTTTGAGTCAAACAAATATACACAAGCACACATTCATGGAAGAACATCTTGTTTGGTGGTTCATATAGCTATATGCTGAGTTGTCACTGGGCTCCAGCAGAGGCCCGTGTCTCTTCTTCTCAGTCTCTTACGCAAACACAATGCCACATTCAGCGGACTGGCACACTGTGTATTTAGTTTTTTTTTTACTATAGCTTCACACACACTGGTGCACTGGCGCATATCCATACACGTACGTTTACACACAGCCACTCTGGCACATACAGATTTCCACTGTAATGCACCGGCACGCTTTCGGACATGTTTTTAAGGCCCGTGCCAGTTTCTTCATTCATATGCAAATGTGCTTCCATTGGAGAATCGTGAATAGCTATTTCTACTTCATATTCAGGTTTTTAAAGAAAAATGTAACGGTCAACATACAAAACAGAGTCATTTCTGGGAGGACACAGTGAAACGGGAAGTCATCATGAGTTTCATTTGGATTAAGTAGCATTAGGCGTAAGTGGGGTCTATTAAATATAACCCTAAACCGCATAATCCGACTACAGTCAATTACACCGGGCGATCTGGCTAGACTACAAGCACACAGAAGCATTGAGACGAGAGAAAAAGCACAACAGAAACCATAAACAGATACACATGGATATGCACGTACAGGAAAAACTCACAGACGTGCGAGATGAGAGTCACATTCAGTGAATCAAGTGCAAAAGCGGGGACCGGAGGGTCTGATAGCTTGGGCCCTCGATGGGGTAGAGACTGGGACCGTAACTGGATCCACGACCTGCGTGTCAGCACCAGGAACTGGGCTGCTTTGTGCCTCTAATGAGACTCTCTGGCACGCTCTCATACACGCATTCCAGCCAAAGAGAGAGAATGTATAAAAGTAAGAGGGAAAGCTACATCTACAGAGAAAGTGAATGTGGGCAAACAGAGAGAAAATGAGATGAAGGGAGGAAGAAGACAATAAATGCAGCTCATCTGCCAATAATAGAAACCCCAAGTTCTTGTAAACATGCCCCCCTCACCTAAGTCTTTATTACATTTTCTACAGCACACAATATAATTGCAGAGAGAATGTGAAATCCACTTCTGTCCTTTAACCTCCCAATATTCAATTAAACTTTTGCAGTCTTTCCCACAAAGGATTTCTGTAATTCCCAAATGCCAATCCTGACACCAGAGGTCCTTGCTGAAAAATGTAGTCTTAGCTGGTTTAAGCTGGTCTTCCTGTCTGACCAAGCACTCAAAATCCCTTAAAACCACTAAAACAGACCAGCCTTGTGGCTTGTCCAGTCTGTATTTCCCAGCATGGTTCTGACTTTGACACGCAAACCTTCAAAAATCAAACGAGCAAATCAAATGATGGAGGGGAGATATGTTTGCATTTAGTCTCATAATCAGTGAATTTGGAGGTACCTCAATAAATAATTATCGAAGCATCGAAAAGCAAGCTACATTGGCTATTGGTTGGATGATTACTTCTGATAAGTGTCGCTGTTTGGTAGAGTGCTATTATTATTATTGCTCAAACTGAAGCAAGGACTGGTGGGACAACAGCTGTCCTCCACAAATTCACAGATGATGAGTCGAAGACACATTCCCACATACGAAACTTAGGGCTCAAAGAAAATCCCTAAAGTTCCTAAGTTTTTCCCACTTATAATTACAACACTGTGGTGGTGTTCATTTGCGATTAACTTATAAAGACTGTACACAAACGCATCATTACATTTTGTTGTGGACCAGCAAGCAACAACCCAGAACACTCTAGCAACCACTAGCAATTCTCTAAAAACCAATGCTCTAGCAAGCTACCCAAGCATCCTAGAATCATGGCAGCAAGTTTTGCATAAGCAAACAGTAAATGTACAAATCTAATTCGCATTTATCCTCATGATTAATCAAGGCGAGGCAAAATGGAAACATAAATTGAGCCACTTTGGCCAGCACTTGATTCAGGTGTGAAGTGTCAGTGGAAACAGGGCACCGGCGTGTGCTCAAAGTGCCAGAACTCCCTGAACCTTCTGCCTGCAGCGTGACCTCTGCGCTGGAACAGAGCTTCTCCGGTGTCTTTGACACCTCTCTCCACACTGCTGTTTCACGTTTCTCTCGTGTAGCACTCTATCCTCAGAGCAACTCTGCTGGAGCCACGGGGGTCAGTGCCCAACCACGCTGTCCCTGTTCTCAGGTGTATCCTACTGACAGTCTTCATCTGCCACCACAGCCAGCGCCATCTCTGCACTCTCGCACAATCACTCGCACAATCTATAGCAGTAGGTTTTTCAATGTGCAAAGAACTAAAAAGCATGCATTTGACAGATGCTTTTATCAAAAGCAACTTAAATTGCATTTATGGTACACATGCTCATGGGTTCGATTCTCAAGGAATGCATGTGGGTTAAATTCCCAAGGAATGCATGAACAAACCCACATGCATTTGGCAGGCGCTTTTATCAAAAGCTAATTATATTGCGTTCACGATACACATCGTCATGGGTTTAATTCGCAAGGAATACATTCTTTGGGAATCGAACCCATGACCATGGCTTTACTAGCACTATGCTCTACTGTTATAGCTACAGTAATCTAAAAATGCCTGTGATGTGATGGGTTCAAATTGTGCATATATGAGGAAATGGAGTAGTGTTTTCTAGTGGTTCAAGCTTAAAGGGGTCATATGATGCTGCTAAAAAGAACATTATTTTGTGTATTTGGTGTAATGAAATGTGTTTATGCGGTTTAAAGTTCAAAAAACACATTATTTTCCACATACTGTACATTATTGTTTCTCCTCTATGCCCCGCCTTTTTGAAACGCGTCGATTTTTACAAAAC